TTTCTCCTCTATTGGCAATAGAAAGGTTGCAGCTCACGGGTCGACGGGACCCGGTAACATTGTCAAACATTGTACATTATGTATGCAAAAACATACACGCAGAGGACCAATCAAGCGCCGGCAATACTCTCTGCCTATATTTCCAGATGTTACGACTGTCAGGGCTTCTAGTGGGGCTTAATGCAGAGCTGGACATATGAGCCCCCTGAGCCGTCAGCTGAAAGTTCATTAACGAGCATCAAGTTAACCCTCGCAACACAGTTAGCCTTAGGTATTTGGTTGAAGAAAGCCGGTTTAAGCAACACGATATGCGGTAGTTAAACTAGCCCTAGCCTTGACCCTTACCTTAATCTTTATTTAGACCCTTAACTTAACTCTGACCGGAAATTATTTTCGCAAGTGTATCCAGAACCGTCAGCATGTTTTATATATGTTTACGTAAACAAATTACTACGGCTAGTAAGTCATAAATGGCCACCCTAGTCTCCCTTGTCATTGTCGGTACAGTCCTTTTGCCTATATCAGTAACTACCTTGCTTTGTAGGCTCGACTGTAAGCTCCAAAGGCACCCTGGACGGACGAGTTTGTCCTCTAACACATTGGTGTACGCGTATGTGCCACAATATCCAAATGTAATTCGTTTGTTTTGTAAATTTATGGCATCACGGTAAATGAGCAGCCTCCGGTGTCATCCCAAAAATGGTAAATGCTGTTTGTAAAAAAATGAGTTCTGCTCAGAGGGTATGTAGTTGTGCTGCTTGCTTACAATTTGACATCCGTTTGATGAAACGATCAATAATGAAATTCATTCAGAGAAAAAGTTGCTAATGGTTATTTTTGGAGTCACTTCTGTCTAGAAATACCGCCGCACCAAAGGCTGTGCATTTGGCAACCACATACACCGTGTTAATTCGTGTGGAGGACCAACCAAACTCCACACTCTGCATAAACGCATTGATCGTCGTCTCGCAATACCCTCGCTCAGCGCTGATTAGTCAAGCGTACACATGATTGCACTCTGTTTCAGCATAGAGACGGCTGATGCTGGTGGTGCTGTCAGCGACGTCAGTCAGTGAGTAATGCCACTGCTATCTGAAGCTATCTGGGAGGCCTTGCAGTGTTCCGTTTGCCTAGAGATTTGCAAGGAGCCCTATCGTTTGCCCTGTGAAGACTTTTTCTGCAAAGAACCCTGTCTGCAGGGTTTGCTCAATTCAGCACGACCAACCTGCCCAGTCTGCAGACTTCCCTTTTCTAGGGTTGATGTGGAGCGGTTCCGTACCCCCAATGATATCATAGACCTTATTCAGAAGCCTACGCAAACCAATCAGATGGTTCAAGCGCCCCTGCAGCGGTCGGAGCACTGCTGGAATACGGGCGAAGTGATCCATGAATCTGTTGTGAGAGAGCCCATACCAATATAATATTCGCATGGCCTTCGACGCAGTGGGGAAGGGGTTGTACAAAATAACCAGGAGGGAAACGTGGAAACGTTCAGAAGACGAAGATGTGATCACTGGAACAAGAGTTTTATTTGCCTGACG